AGAATGGCTTTCACGGCTCCCGGTCGCTTCGGCACAATTACGTCGCACGTGACTCGACATCGCCGGGTAAGTAACGACGTCGTTACACGCGTTAAGTTCGAACGATCGCGGTCGAATTTGCAACAAGCTGCTACCCGTGATCGTCGCGCTCCCGTATTGATGCTCTTGTGAACGATACTTAACGGTAGGTTAACGCGCGCGACGCGGGCCAATCGGGGTCGTCGTTAACAAACCAAACGGAATATGGGATCAGGGAGACGAAATGGCCGAAATGCGTCGAAGTGCCACGATGAATAATTGAAGCGCGGAGCGTGAACCGAATACGGAAAAATGTGAATGCAGACAGTTTTTGATATACCGCCTGCGGAATATACCGGGTGTCGGGCGCGACCAGAATCGCCCCGGATTTGACGTTCGAGCGTTGTTCGTTGGACGTTAGGACTACTCGAGCGCATGGAGATGCTTAAACGCAAAAAGGAAGAACTGGTTTCCGTTTTTTTTCCTCCTCGGCCGGTGTCGTCCGCCATGGTCTCGAGGAGAAGAAGAGTACTTCAAAGTAGTTTACAGGGAAGTTCCCGGGAAAATTCGATAAAGTATACGAAAAGCTCGATAATATATGGACCAACTTGGACAGCGAAAATTTCGTTTATTAGACTTCTTGTGGCATAAACGTCGTCTGTTTTTCCGCCAGGAAAATCCCCGAGACGGCATTAATCTCCTTAACGCGGTGTCGATTATCGAGCGAACTTCACGAGTCTCTTCGCCCGTCGAATCCGCGTGTCTTGCATCGCGCGATTAATTCGACGAGCGGACCGAAAAAAGAAAGCAAAAAAGAAAGCGTGGAGGAAGAAACGGGCGTCGGACAATCAAAGCCGCAAATCGGCGAGCAAAGTTCTTGCTCGACGACCGCACAGAGATCGTCGGTCCATTAAACGTTTCACTTCCCCGGCAACTTCGTCGGTCATTCGTTTCTTCTAATGCATCGTGAGGCGAAGTTTTAATTCGACAAATACGACGACGACGACGACGACGACGACGACGGCGACAGCGACGGCGACAGCGACGGCGGCGGCGGCGGCGGCGACGGTGGCGGCGATAGCGGACACCCGATGCATTACCTACTTAAAGACAATGGCGTGGCCGCGAGCGTTTTCCGACAATGTATTACCGCCAGGCGGAGATACTTTCCCTGATTCCCTTTAAATGGTGGCGGTGGCTTTGTTTTTAATGCGCGTGACCCAGTTGGCCCGGTGCTCCACTTTATCCGTTGCACATTGCATCTTCCTCTGCGCAATAGCTTAAAACGAATTTGCGCGGTGCATTCATGACGATCATCCCCGGGTGAATCATTCGCGGGCGAATCGCGTCGCACTGTGGAGAGTCGTTTTGTCCTTATAGGCAAGTGCATGTGAAGAGCGAATGTGTGTGTATGTATATATCGAGTAATAAATTATCGGCGTTACAATTAGCGATGTGACCGTAAGTTAATAAGAGGAAAGGCAAGAAACGCGCCGGGAGCGTTCCCGGCAACACTTAGGGCTTCCAATTAGGACTCGCGCGTAAATCACTCTTCGAAATTCGCCGTGTCGCGCGTCCCGAAGTTAACGAAAAGCACGACACGGCGCTGCTAATAAGAACTGTTTACCAATTAGCGACGTCTCAGACACGCTCTCCCGCGATATTACGCGACAAGTTCGTGCGAGATGCCGTATATAGCTAATAGACGTCTCTTAACGGCTCTCGCCATTAACCCGAGTCGTGAACAATTTTATCGCATCTTGCGCATGAAATTCACTCTTCGACGACGACGCTCGCGCGCGCGCGCGCGCGCGTGCACCTCCGTCGATATCGCGTCGTCGTAAAAATTGCGAGAGCGTTTTACACTAACGCCTCCGCGTGCGTCATCGGTTTAAGCTCCGCTCTTCACAGCCGCCTTGGAAAATACACGGTGTCCTGTGTACGGCGTCGCTCGTGCGCGCGTGCGCGCGGGTATGCATACATACACACGTGTGTGTGTGTGTGTATGCTTCTTCAGCCTGCGGATACCGCAGAAAACTGGGAGAAACTAGGCGACACCGGCCCGAGACACCCCATATGCGCGGAATATGCGCGATAAAATCGCCTCGTGTGCACGTGGAGACCTACACGGACCTGGATGAAAAGTAGAGCACGGGAGAATTGCGCCGTGACGAAGCGACAAAGCAGTTAAGTGATCGATCAGTCCTTAGGTGTGCACCATCTTTGCGCGACTGACCCCCCGCGAAGCCTCCCCACCTTGTCCCTCTCTCTCTCTCTCTCTCTCTCTCTCTCTCTCTCTCTCTCTCTCACTCTTTCTCTCTCCCGCCCCTTTTCTTTCCTTCTCGCAGGCCACGTTATATTACGCGGTCCGTGCCGTCCATGATAACGTCGGATGCATCGCATAAAAGGCGCCGCGCGTCTACGCGAGATGGAGATTATGGCCGGGTGCACGCCCGACAAAACACATACTCGCGCGCATAAAAAGTGTTCCGGTAAAAAATAGCCGGCACGGCGCACAGACCGCGGGGGTGTATCGCGTCAGTTTTTGCGTGCGAATTAGCTTTCAAACACCGTTAGCGGGAGAGGAGAAGAAGTAGCGGGTGGCAGGAGGGATAAATAACAAAACTTTCGTGCTTCAATTAGCCTGGGATGAACTTTAATACGATCACGAATTAAGCCGGTACTAAGTATATCAGTATTAATAATTATGTTTGCGCGGAGAGCGCCTGGGTTTTGGTGGAGGAAGAGAGGGCGCAGGGGGAGGGGGCGGTGTAACGAACGGGAAATGGGCGCTCGACGATGTGCGACGATGTCTAGCCGCTCTCAATTCGAATGTGCGAAATTCAACATAACGAAGTAGACTATGTTCCGTGCGCTTGTGCGCGCGCTCTCTCCCTCCCTCTCACTCACTCTCTCTCTCTCTCTCTCTCTCTCTCTTTCTCTCTCTCTCTCTCTCTCTCTCCTTCTCTTTCTCGTCGTTTACTTTTTGTCCGGTCGTTTTAACGAAGGTCCGCATTGTTTGTCAGAGCGAGCGGACGGGCGGACGAGAGAACGAGCCGGCGATTTCGCGCGTGATGACGGGAATTAAATAACGGGAATTCAGCATTCGCGTAATAAATAATTCGCAACGCGGCGGGAGCGAGAAAGCGAACGAGCGAGCAAATTGTGCGGCCCGTGAGGCAAAGCACGCGCGCGCACGTCGCACTCTAAAATAATTCAACGGCGCTGTTTTATCGATTAATTTGCGACTCACTTGGAGCGTAAGCCGTCTTTGTAACTGACCCGATGACCTGCGCCACACACATTATATGGCTGCGCGTTATAACGCCGGCGCGACACATAAACGTGTAACCATGTGACGGACGTTGCACAGTGCGTTTATAAACTTTCTCACGCATGCACGCACACAATGCACGCGCTGCGACCTCGCGAGTAGATTGCATACAAAATAATGAAAAACGTAGGACGATGATAACGCCAGCCGCGTGACTAACTCTTCGCGCTTAACTAATTGACGTATATATGCGCGCGCGCGTCCGCGCAAATATCGCGGTGAATGTTTGCGCTCAAAGAGTGAATTGCGGAATTACGATGTTCCATCAAGACCGTCAAGTGCGTGGAAAAAGAGCACTTTCGTTTGAAAATATCGCGGCATTCATGCCACGATAATAGCTTCGGCGAATTTTCAGCGAAAATATTGTTACTGCCGACAAGTGATCCCGCAGGTCCTCCAATTATTTCTTACTTTCGATCCATCAAATTACGACTCCCAAGTGGAAAATTCTCAATGGTGTATCTCAAACACCGTATGAAAGCGAATCAATATTACCATTACTAGAGAAGTACGAATCTCTCACGGAGATAACTGCGTCGTTCTCCTTTCAACGCCGTGTTGCTGAAGAAAATTGATTTTGGTGTGTGTTTTACGCCAAAAGGGAAAGAGAGAGAGAGAGAGAGAGTTTGAGACAATAAATAGAATTATCTGTACGTCATACAAATGGTTTGTTCAAATTCGAGTTTCGCGACACAATTCTTTCCTTTCATTTCACGGAACGATCGTTTCGCGTTATTTCGAACCGCCGCACGCTGCGACAGGTCCGAGAAAAAGAAAGAGCGAGAGAGAGAGAGAGTGAGAGAAGGGGGAAGAGTTGGGGGAAGGAGAGTGAGAGAGACGTCTACCTTTTTAAATAAGCTGTCACGGACTGATTAATCGATTGGCGCATCTCGCGGCCGTATATTACCGTTGCGCGCCAACCTCGCAGTTTAGCATTATATTATGCGGTTATAACCGTGCAAGGGCAACTATGTGAAACACGCTCGCATAATCGATACGTGCGATTTCGGCATATTACTGACGTAAGCATGCACGCGGAATTTCCACGAACAATGGTCCGTACCGACAATATGCTTCATTAAAAGTTTGGAAGCTCCGTGAAAAATATAATAAAGCTCATCGTTACGGTTGCCGTTATGGTGCCGACTGAGTTTTGACGTTAAATGGATGAGATATCGATGAGACATTACTGTACATTACCATAACGACTGTAATTGTACAACGTCTCAATACCGCCGAGCGGTACTTCTCTCTCGCGAAAGATACAAGCACGCGAACTGAAATCATTTCGATTAGCGATTCCAGGATTCTTCGAGCGCCCGTGCACGTGTGTGTGTGTGTGTGTGTGTGTTGAAACGTCTCGTTATTGTATTATTATTATTGTGTATGCAAAAATTCCCATCGTTTTAAGGCAATGTTTTTCATTAATATTGTTACAAATGACATAGTATCTTGAATCAAAATATATTCCGGCATTATCTACTACTTTTTGCCATTTTTCAGGCAAAAGATGGATACTACGATAAGAGAAGTTTTTGCTTGTAGAATGAATGAAGTTATCGATGAATTGTTGCACTTCCTTGGCATTACGAAATTATGTACCAGAAAGACTGTGCTATATAGAACGAAATAAAAAAATAAAAATCCGATGGGAAGCAATATCTGGAGAATATGCCGGGTGTGGCAGGACTTTCTATTGCAATACCATTTAAAGTTTTCCGGCTCGTCAATGCAACATGGGATATGGCATTGTTGTGTAGAAGAATCACTTTGTTTTACTTCGTCGCAAAATATAGCCGTTTCTCGATCAATTGCTCATACAACTGCCTCAATTGTCGACTATATAATTCTGCGATGATAGTCTAAGATGGTTTTAACAGCTCATAATGCAGTACTCTTTGCATGTCCCGCTAGATACATCGGAGGACTTTACGACAATGGATATTTCATTTTGGCTGTGACATAAAGGTTCTCCGGAATTTACCCACGATCTTTTGCTGTTGGAATTGTCATAATAAATTCATTTTTCGCCTCCGGTCACAATTCGATACAAAAGAGATTTGTGTTTGCGTCTATTGAGCGGCGAAAAGCAAATGGTGACTCGGCTGGTAATAGCGTTCTCGCAATAATTCATGGGGGATCCATTTTTCTCCGTTCAGAGTTTTCCCCATCTCATGTAAGTGTCGAATTGCAATGCTCTTATTAACGTGTAACCTTTTCGCAAGTTCTACACTCGATTGAATCGAATCTTTTTGCAATAACGGTTCATCTGCGTTCTTGCGATCGCCCGGCACGCTCCTTGTCTTTCAAATGAAAATCATCGCCACTTTTAAAGCGCCGAAACCACTCACGACATGAACTTTCAGCTATCGTTCTTTCATCATAAGTTTCGCAAATGATTCTCATTGCTTCGGCAGCTGTTTTGCGCTGATGAAATAAAAAAAGTATAGAATAACGAATATGCGTCTTATCGACTTTCTCATCTTCAGAATTAAAAATGTTTACGTCAATGGATATGACTTATGCATCAGTTTCTATGCAGGTTGATCAATATTGACATAGGACCTATTTTTTATAGCTGCACTGCTGAACTGGTGCAATAACCCGAGCAGTAATCAAATACGGCAATTTTTATGCCTGATATGGCATGTCTAGGTAAGCGATAAGAAGGTATTATGAATGGGGTTCTTATGCGGTCGGAATGTGCAATTGTTTTGCAAAATTTTCCAGATTATACACCCACCAGCAATGACGTCATTATTTGGATGCCTGATTTGGTCCCGATGGACATTTGATCAGGTTTCTCGATTTCAGGCAATTTTATCAGGGCATTATGTAGCAGTGCGTTTCACTCCTTATTACATGCTGGATCCGATAAAGTTATCCGGGCCTTATTTGAAATTTGGAAACCGGACTGGGTTTTAATACGACTGTGGGACGATGTTCTGCTCGGGAAGTTAAGGTGAGAAAAAATATATTGGGTTATCGGAAAAATCATGACGCGCACCTTTGCAACAGATGACGCTAGTTCATTTTTGAAAGTACTAGAGTCATTCGCATCTATGTTATTGCTATGTCATTTGACAGCTGATAGTTCTAGCTTCATTCTAAAAAAAAAAAAAATTGAGCGATTTGGTTGAATTTTAGAGATTTTACAACAAGTTGAAGATGGAAGACCAAACTGTAAATTTTCGCCATATTTTACTGTTTTCTGTAAAGGGAAGAACGCGCGTTAAGCTTGTGAAAAGTTGCGTAAAGTTTACGGTGACAATACTTTACAAGAACATCAGTGCCAATAATGGTTCACGAAATTCCGTGCTGATGGTTTTGATCTCAACGACGCTCCTTGGTCAGGGAGGCCCACCGAGGTTGATGTCGATAAAATAAAGGCATTGATCGAGTCAAACTCACGTTACACGACACGAGAGATTGCAGAAACATTAAACATCCATCATTCAAGCGTTCACGACCACCTGAAGAAGCTGGGATACGTAAGCTGGGATAAGCAAGCTCGATATTTGGGTTGCCCTGAACTCACAGAAGTTCATTTGACGGCGTGTATAAACATCTGCGATATGCTCATTAAATGTAAGGAAAACGATCCTTTTTTGAAGAGAATGATAACTGGTGATGAGAAGTGGATTGTTTACAACAATGTGGAGCAAACGGTCTTGGTCCCGACGTGATGATTCGCCTCAAACGACATCGAAAGCAGACATTCATCAAAGAATGGTTATGTTCTCAGTGTGGTGGGAAGTTTTTAAGGTTTCGTGTTCTTCGAACTCCTACCAAGGAACCAAACAATCAATTCGAATGTGTGCTGTCGGCAATTGGACAGTTTGAACGAATCCATCATCTAGAAATGTCCAGAGCTCGTTAATCGTAAAGGAGTTGTGTTTCATCATCACGACACGCGAGACCACATATAAGTTTGATCATCCGTCAAAAATTACTGAAGCTTGGATGAGATGTGTTGCTACATCCACTCCACATACTCGTTTGTCCTTGCGCCGTCAGACTTCTACTTGTTTCGCTCTCTTCAAAACTCCTTGCGTTTTGAATAACGTTAAATTCAGATGAAGCTGTAAATCAGCACTTTGTTCAGTTTTTCACCGATAAAGACAGATCCTTCTATGTTTTTTTAAACAAAGAATTTTGAAGCTTACTGAAAGATGGCAAAAGGTCATCGAACAAAACGGGCAATATATCATTGATTGATTTTTGTTCTTTATATAAATAAATGACCTTTGAAAAACATAGAAAGAATACGTCACGACTTTCCGACAACCCGATAATTGTCTCATTTTAACTTATTGCACTAGTTCAACAGTGCAGCTATAAAGAACAGACTTATAATCTAACAAAAATGCGTCGCAACTTTAATTCATAAATAATTTCATAAATAATTTACAATATCATCTATATGTGAACGATGAAAACTTTTGCATATCTCTAATATATTTTCAATACTTCGTATTTTTCGTTTCTTCAATAGGCGGCATACGGTTGAAAACCATATGAGTTTTTCGTTTATTAAGCCAGAATAAAAATATATTTACTCGTCAGGAATTTGTTCATCGCGAGCTATATTTACATTATGCGCAATAAATGAACCTCGTACGTGCCCATCCGCGGAAATGTTCGCGCGGCTATTGAACTAAATGCTAAAATTAAACTCCGTTTCAGCGAATAACATCTCGAAGAGCTACGATTATCGAATATTTTATACGTTTATGTTCGCATAACACTGCCAATTAAAAGGATCGAGCGTGACGTCCTTGTTAAATACCTTTCGGCAAATTCCAACGCACGAGATAAATGTTACGTGAAATCGCCGAAACGTTTTCATCATCGGCGGGTCGTTCGCCGTCGACGGGTTATTATATTTTTTCCACAGATCGCTTCGGAATATCACGATATTAAAACGGATGATGATCGAACTCGACATGTATTTTTATGAGTGTAAAGAGACAGAGTCGTTCCGGGGGAGCATAATATGAAGCTGAAACGCAAACGTGGATCCGCATATCTGGAGTGACGCTTTCCAATTTATGGCTGACATTTGCTAGAGTCGATCGAAAGACTTCTTCACTGTCACCGAAATTTCCCCCGAAAGGGTCATCGAACGAATGTTTATTAATTAAGGAAATCGATGCTCTCACGCGATAAGGTATGCATTGCGTTCACGCGAAAACACGTCCGAGAGCGCCGCGAAAAAATCGTTTCAATTTCGCGAAGAAATGCCGTTAATTAAATTCCACATTAATTGTTTGATCGAGAGCCACGAAGCGAACGGTAGCCGCCAGTTTCCCGAATTTCCGCCGGAAATTGGCGAGGGAGTAATATGATTACCTTGCCTTGGAGTAATCTCGCGACGTGCATACGACAGTTCCCGACGTACTTTTCATAATGCGCAGCCGAGTCGGACGCATGTCACACGCATGCAGCTAACGTCAGTCTTTATTTCAGAAATGCACCCGCTCGCGGCGCGAGGAAAAATAAGGGAGACGCGAGCGAGCGCGCGCATATGGCGAATTATAGTTTCACATTACCTGTTGTACATAAGAACGTCGGGTTTCCATAACCGATGCGGCGGTATTCTGAGGTCTCGTACGCCTCCGTAGTCCGAGACGTTCCATCTCATGTTCACGTCGTTCCATTCCTGCAATTAAAGGAATATCGCACTACGTTACTCTCGCACTCACTCGTTCGAGGCCTAAAATCTTATCTCGTTTAACCCTTTGAAGCATGGTGTGGCATATAAATCACACCTCATCGAACTGAATAGAAAAATATTTCTTCGCTTCTTATTTTTTTTATAGTATGTACCCTAAGGTTTCGCCTAAGGACATCGCTGATTCCGAAAAAGTCGAAATTTCCAAATTCTCAAAACTTGTACTAATATGGCGGTTCTAATTTCGGAAAAAAATATAGATTGCATAAAATCTATCGTAACTAAGGATGTCGTCCTGATAATATGTCCTCAAATTTGTTTTCTGGGGGTTTTCGAAGCCGTTGATTACGAATATAAAGTCAGAATTGTAAGTATTCCAAAATTAAAGATGGCGGACACAATATAGTGGATCGAAATCGTGGAAATTAGACCAATTTACATCAAACTGTGTATCCGGGGGTTTTTGGGGTAACTGATTACGAATCTAAAGTCGAAATTGAGAAACTCAAAATGGCGGACTCAATATGGTGGATCAAACTGTGGCCCCAGAAATCCTCTGATACACAATTTGATGCGAATCGGTCTAATTTTTACAATTTGATCCGTCATATTGGGTCCGTCATCTTGAATTTCGCGATTTCGACTTCAAATTCGTAATCAGTGAGCCCAAAAGCCTTCGGATATACAATTTGATGTAGATCAGTCTAATTTTGAGCATTTCGATCCGCCATCTTGAATTTTGAAAACTTCTAATTTCCGACCTCAGATTTGTATTCAGCGGATTGGAAAATCCTTTATAAGGGAATTTGGCGAGTAATATATGCTTCAAAGGGTTAACCCAATAATGCAATAATGACGAGCGAACGTTCAGTATAAACAACGAATTGCGCATTCGGGCAGTGGAAATCCAGATTCTCGATGGTTCCTTATATTCCACGTTTTACGATCTCTTGCTATCGACTTGTCAGACACTCGGAAAGACCTCTTGTCGATCGTGAGTCAACGAACGCACTGATTAGAGAATCTTCACGAGCGCTAAAGACAAAGCTAACATTTCGTACAATCAGCAGAGTACGTGAACGCCAAGGTATTCCCCCTCGAAATCACGTCCGAAAATCACTCACTCACGTCCTCTCGCAGGCGATGTTGACACTATCGATTTTTCAAGGGCCAAGTGCCGACGTATGCCGCTCGCGCAAATATTTTAGGCCGCGTCGGTACACGTCAGGTAAACACTACAAGCTTTCGATTTAATTCTCGTAGCGGGAATTTACGGACGTGCGCAACTTTGCGAGAGATGCGGGGATCTTTTGCTTTTGCGCAACGTGCAAGGCATGCTTTTGCAAAGCCGTGTTTAAAAGCACTCGATTCGCGCGCAAACAAACTCGCTGCATTACGCTTTGCTCTTCGTATCCCCCGGCATTTTTCTCACGTTCATATGTTAACTCAGATTGCCCGCTGATAATTCGGATTGATAAAATTCGGAAAATAAAAAAGGAAACAAAACTCCGTCTTCGCGTTCGAAGACACGGGCGGAGTTCAAGCGTCGGCCCTGGCGCCAATGAAGTCCAAAGCTCGTCGAATCTGATCGATAATTTCATCGAGAAATCGACGTAAACTTCGACCGATATTTCAGCAGCATTACGTCAAAAGTTGACGTCGCCGATACAGCTACGGAGAGCGCATTTAGCCGGACACCGAGTATAATGGCGCTAATACTCTTCCCCGCAGTTTTCAGGAACATTTCCCGAACTTTCCTCGCGAGTTTGCGTGACTCCTCCGAAGCGATTTAGGAACTTGGGAGTATTCGTGGTTCGGGGGCTCTTCGCTGTGGATTTGCAGTACTTTCTCGGCGGAACGAAAATGAGATAGACAGGATCGATCCGTGCCAGCGTGGTCGTAACAGGTCGTTGCGCGTGTATTTTTGATCGGGCTGTTTCGGGAAGATTATTCCGATCGCGAGGCAAAGCCGGGGAATCGGAGAATGAGAGAAGAAATAAAGCGAGGAAAACATGTACGAATTTCGCATTCGCTGTTTTCCTCAACTTTTGTTTATTCCTGTGTGTTCTAAGACGGAAACTATCTTCATTGCTTACCTTTACTATCAAATATCACCCTAAGCTAACTTTTCTTGTTATTGTTTATAGTAAAATATATGCGAGAATTGATCTGTTTTATCATAATGTTGTCACTACTGATAGCGTGAATAAATACCTATAAAATGAGTACAGTGAGGTTACGTTTTTTAATAAGATCAAAAATTCGTATGGGGTAAAATTCCACCTAAATTTCACCTTTAGAGGGTCAAATATAGTACGAACTTTGTCCTTCGTATCAATTGAATCCTCAAAATCACATTTATTCGAGCAACAATACGATTCTCTTTGTTATCGATAACTTGACATCCTACTGGGAACTTTTTATTGCCCCTTATCGTAAATTTACGATCTAACCCCGGCAGCTACGGTCAGTAAAGATACCGGATTACGCACGGGCAGGCGGGAAAAAAGAAAGAAATACAGGAGAAATTTCCCGCAGAAGATTCCCCAGTCTTCCAGAGGGACGATAGAACCGGGGATGTTTTTCGATAGCGCCGTAGAGCCAACCCTACCGAGCTAAAAGTCCGGTTAACGACGAGCCCGCTTGATTCCGCCGCCGTCGCCTTTCATCTTGGCTATCGCACTCGCGCCGATTAGTCACTGACCTCGATTGATTAGCTGTTGATGGAGTACAATGAGCGAGATAATTAATAACGGAGCACGCGCGCGGTTCGAGTGTGGTGGTTTGCGTAGTCGCCGCGCGTAGACCATTATTATTATATAATCATTAGCGCGTGCGCGGGAAGCTGCCGCGGTTAATTTGCCGAGGTTGCGCTAATTTAGCCATCGTCGGCGTTAGAAGAGTTCTGTTTCAACATTTTTCATCGTAGGAATTCATGCTCATCGATGCGCAATCTAACGTTTGTCAATCAGCGAAACGCGTGTCGCATGCGTGTTTGCCCGGGAAAATTTCTCAACGATGAGACGAACGGAGTTTATACGCACTGAAAAGTAAACCTCGGGGAATGTCAGACGCCGATTTGTTTCCAATTTTTTATGTCAAAATATGAACAAATCTGTTATAATTTTTAGCTTAAATTAATTTTTTCAATTTTTTCGAAATTTTTGAAGTTTTGCACAAGTACACTATTTTATACATATTTAAAACAATATTTCTTAGAAATATATATATGTGATTTGTTGAGACTTGCACACACATGTCGCCGATTATGAATTAAAACCATTTTGTAAAATTCAAAATGGCGGATCTAATATGGCTGACATCATTATTGAAAAAGTGTTCAGTTTTACGCTACATTCGACGTTGGGTAATCTTTCGGCTCACTATCCAGCAAACAAGCTCATCTTAACATCACAATCTGGTAAAAAATAAACAAGAAATGAACAAAAAACTTCAGAAATTTCGAAAAAATTGGAAAAATTAATTTAAGCTAAAAATGATAACAGATTTCTTTATATTTTGACATTAAAAATAACTATAAAAAATTGGAAACAAATCGGCGTCTGACATTCCCCGAGGTTTACTTGTGAGAAAAAGACTTGTGTTGTGTCACAACAAATGAACGTTTGCTGTTTGATAATTGTACGAGGAACAAATCAAATAGTTACCGCAACAAGTCGTTTTTCGTTATTTGTAACTTTAGCAAATGTACATTGCTGGACATGCAAAGAATGGCAACGTCTAAGCAACGCATAAGTAATATATATATATATGTTACTCTTCTGTGCTCCATATTCTGAACTTTCATACATATAAGGTGACCATTAAGATTGTACGTCAAGAAGTGGAAGATGCAATATTTGTCAAAAAATATGATATTTATTACATGAGTGCAAAACTTCGTGCCCGTCCAATAAACGTCATTAAAAGAGTTGTAGCGTCATTGATTGTTATGTACGTATTGCACATCGTTGGAAAAGTGACATAATCAATTGCCACTTGAGCGAAAGATTTGTGTGTTTTGATTGAATTTGCGTTGTGGAAAAGAATTTAGAAAATAAGCGAAGGGAAAGTGCCCTTATATATATAGGGTGGCCATTAAGATTGCGTTGAAAATAAATAGTTATTATTTCGCTACAAGTAGGCAACAAGATGAATTAAACGCCATTTTGTAAAGGAAACTTATCAATTTTATTATCATACGTGTATGAAAAAAATATATAATATTTTAATAATGTAAATATACATTATAAAAAAGAGACACAAATTTATTGGCGCGCATGGCAATTAATGATAGATATTTTCAAAATTTTGTCCGTTGGAATGGACACAGAACTCTAACTGCCTTCGAGAACTTTGACATATGTTGTCCAACATGGCTATAGAAATATTACGAGTGCAGTTTTGAAAGCTGTCTTTCAGTTCTTCGATATTTTTTGGTTGTTCAGCGTAATATTTGTCTTTAAGAAAAACCCAGAGGAAAAAATCACACAGATTTAAATCGGGTAAGTAGGAAGGCCATTCCAGATCTTAATGAGCAAATGTTGCATGAGGAAAAAATTTAATTTTCAATGCTTTGTAATTTTCACCGGTAATAGTTCATTTAAAAAATTGCAGGTAGACCCCTTTTACTAAAATCGCAACCAATGCGGAGACTTTTTGGGAACGAGGAGGAATGGTAATTCACACGTTCGGATTTTCTTTTCCCCAAAACCAATAATTTTGCTTGTTGACGTAACCGTTCAATCAAAAATGATCTTTGTCCGTAAAAGTAATCTCTTTTTCATCGATTTCTTCATTTTTAAACATGCCGGTTATTACCTCACAAAATTGAACTCGTTTTTCCATCGCTTTCTTTGTGAGCAATTGATGTGTTGTGATTTTATAGGGATGCAGCTTGATGACGTCTTTTACGATCTTTTGAAAAATTTCTTGCTTCAAATCCATAACCCGAGCAGTTTTCCGAATCGAGGATTTGGATTTTCTTC